CAAGCTGATGAAGCATTAATAATTGATCAGACAGTAACAGTAGCAGTACAAGTCAATGGAAAGCTACGCTCTACAATCAATGTAGTAATTGATTTACCAGTAGATGAGCTAAAGAAAATTGCTGTAGATGCAATCTCAGATAAAATTGATAAGAGTAAAATTCGCTCTATATATGCAGTACAAAACAAGATAGTTAATGTAGTAATATAGGAATTTTAATTTCTTCAACAAATATCCGCTTGTCAGAGTGTTTTTTTTGCTTCACTTGCTATAATATTTTATGCGGTAGTTTCTCCATTTTTTATTTCACTAGGTTAAACTACCGATTTTTCTCTCTTTCTTCTATTTTTTCTCTACCTTATTTTCTCCTAGAATCAGAGCCTAGCGATGGATGTTGAACATCTGTTAATGCTGTCTTTGATCTTTCCATTGCTTCCATAAGAATCATTGCTATTTCTGTATGATCATTTTCCTGAGCACCTTGCAAAGGAGTGTCTCCATTTTCATTTAGAGCATGAACATCTGCATATTTTGCTATAAGAAATTTCACTGCTTCTGTATGACCATTGCGAGCAACATAATGTAGAGCTGTGTCGCCATACTTACCTGCAGCATTAACACTTGCTCCTTTTTCTATAAGAAATCCTATTATTTCTATATGATTTCCTTGAGCAGCCCGGTATAGAGGAAGATATCCCCACTTATCTTGAATCTTAATATCTGCTTCATTAGTGATTAACAGTTTAACTACTTCTATATGACCTCTTTCAGCAGCATGGTGTAAAGGAGTATATTTCCCACTCTCATCTTGAGCCTTAATATCCGCTCTACTAGCAATTAATAATTTAACTACTTCTATATGACCATTTGCAGCAGCCCAGTGTAAAGGAACATATTTGTTTTTACTTTGAGCATTAACATCCGCATTCTTAGCAATTAATAGTTTAACTACTTCTAGATGACCATTTTTAGCAGCGTTATGTAAAGAAGTATATCCCAATACATCTTTAGCCTTAATATCTATTCCTTGTTCTATTAGCTGACTTACTAGTTCTAATTTACCACTTTCAGCAGCATCCAATAATTCTAATTCCTTTTTTGTAGGCATAATGTTCTCCTAAATTAACAATGATAATGATATTTAATTATGATATAATTTTATTAAGAAATCACCTTTCACCTCTTTTTGATCCACAATTGGGATTATAAAGCATGCTGTGAGAAAGTACTACAAATTTTTGGCCGAATGTTCATGATGCTATTGATTTTATTTTTCAAAAATAAGGTAACCTTTACTCGTGTTAGCCATAAATAAGTTGCTGCAAGTTCAATAAAAATTCACATGTATAACAAAGATTGATAATATTAATTAAGTAACACAGTTATTATAATTATGCCAAAGCGTACAGATATA